ATTCAGATTAGGATCTGCATATAGAACGAGTAAACCCTTTTTTTTTTTGCACTCTTCTTTCCTGAGTGATTCTTCTTTCTTTCCTTCATTCCTGAGTGATTGAGAAGAAGTAGTCTACTAGAGGGAAAAATTTGGCAAACAAAGAAGCTTGAGAGGAAAGATTTAGCTTTTCTCACTCACTTCCTATCTGTAACTGATTACTCTGTACGTACAGTAAATGTAAATCTAGAAACAGAGTAACACAAAACAGGATTCATGCATGATTGGAATTTTCAAGAATTGCACACATTTTGATTATGAGATTTATGCCAGTTGGGTAACCTAGAATAGTGATGACTAACATTTTTTGTTGTCACGTAATGAAAGCGTGCGTGCCTTGCACCCATAATGCAATGTGTGTGACCCCCCGCATGCTCCACCCCTGCGCATGCGTGTGTGACTCCCCATGTGCCCCTCCCCCTGCGCATGCGCATGCCCCCCCACCATGTTTTGGGCCTAATAGGCCTCCCTGCAGTCTCCTGGGAGCAAAATGGGCCGCAGGAGGGAACCGTGCCGCCCCCCCATGCATGTGCATGTGTCTCCCACAAGGGCCCCGCCCCCAGGCATGAGCGGCAGACACCCGAAAATCAGCTGGCCAGCGGGAGGTGCACACACATGCATGGTGGAGCTTAGTTGGGCAACAGTTTGTGTACCCATAGAGAGGGCTCTGCATGCCACCAGTGGCACTCATGCCACAGGTTCACCATCATGGACCAGGGACGAAGGCAATGGAAACCACTTCCAAAAATGTTGTCAAGAAAACTGGATGGATATCTCCAGGAATTTCATCAGGAGACAAAACTGATTTGAAACTTCCCCACACACACCTCTAATTTACACAGGAAGCTTATATTAAAATGTTTCATATCACTTCTACGTATTACAATAATAGGCAAACCATTAAAAACCAGTTAAAACATGCATTAAAATGTTCAAAGAAGAAAAAAGGAAGAAAAAATAGCATCAATACAATTCAAGTCGAACAAGAACATGTTATTATGAGAACAAATTATTACTACATTTATACCTTTCATTGCCTGGGTCGCAGAAGGCTTGTTCAATTTTCTTCATATTGTCCATGTCTTTCCACAAAGTACCATTTAAAACTTGCCATCTATATGGCAAATCGTAGTGAACTCGGGTACATTTATCTAAATAAACAAACCAACCCACGTTATGTTATATTATAATCTTGATCCATTAAGATACTTTTCAAGGAGCAATGTAAGGAATTTATACTGATGAAAATGCCAGGCATACAGGGGTGGTGAGCTTCTTGCAAATGTTCCATTTTTACACCTTTTATTTTCTCTTTTGCAAATACTTATATGCAGTACATCATTGCATAATTATTCTTTGGTTATCAGAAATCATCAAAGGTATTATGAAACAGACCTCGAGTTTCTAAGAGAGTGTTGTGGCCCGACAGCGGAGCTGGCAGCAGATTCAGACAGTGAAGAGGTTGGGGAGGAACATGGGCCAGTCCTGGAGTCTGGGGAAGGCTCTGATGAGGGATCTGCATTGGAGGCAGAGTTGGGCTGTCTGACAACTATCAGCTGCCTTTGGAGTCAGACATCAGTGAGGCAGATAAACAACTGGACCCTGTTCCATGCACAGTTGCCATATGAAGGGAATGGCTAAGGAGCAAGGGCCGACTTCGGAGTAAGGCCGCAGGTGGCTGATAAATGGCCCCTCCCATAGGGAATAAAACAGGAGCGAAAGGGGAGTGGAGTTTGCAGGAGACAATTAGTTCACTTAATTGGTTTGTGACTCTCAGAGGCTCCTTGCCAAGTTTTGAAGATACCAGCCTGGCAGCTCTCCAAGCCAGGTAAGGTCTGTGACTGTATATTTACCCCTGAACGACTTTCCTGGATGTGAATGAGAGGAATTCACAGTAACTTAATAAAAAGGGTTTTTTGTCAGGACAAGGAGTCTGCTTCGTGGTTTGGGGAAACAGTGAGTTCCAAAACTGGGCTGCAAAGAAAAGAACCGTAAGGCCTCATAATTCTTTGCTGAATAATTAGTCCAGATACTTGCAGCCTAAATATGGTAGATCTAGCTCTTAATTATTCATTCACACATATGTCATTAACAGCAAGATGACAACCTCACTTCACAGCACAAATGTGAAATTAATACATTTTTTCTTCTACTGAAAGCACATTATTAGAAGTGGGTGGTGGGCAGAGCTGAAGAAGTCCTGCGGTCTACATCTAAGCTGCTCTGAAAGATGCTAAAGGTCAATTTCATGGTATCTGGAAAGACACAAATCCAAGACCAGATTGACAAGGGAAGCCATTTTTTTCTGAATGGTGATGGTCTCCATACAGAAAGAGATCAAAGAGCCATTAATCTAGGGATCCTTTATTTTGGATTTCTGTATTGAACAAGGATTGGGTTCAGCCTAAATCAGGGGTGTCAAACTTGAATTTTATTGAAGGCCGCATCAGAGTTTGACCTCGGGGTGGGGCGGGGCGTGGCCAGCCCAATGTCACTCATGTCAGGGGCGTCTGTGGTGGCCTGAGCACTCTGCCAGTGAAAACAAGCTCCTGAGCTCCATTTTTGGCTGCAACAACCTCCTCCAACCCTGTGCCAGAGAAAATGGAGCTCAGAGGGCTGTGCACGGCCCTTGCAATCTACGTTTTCAGCTGTAACAGCCTCCTGCAACCCTCTGCCTGTGAAAACAGAGCTTGGGGCAGCCACAAGTGGCCCTCCCAAGCTCCATTTTCACTGACCACGACAGGCCGATCCTTTACTGTTTCCAGGAAGGTCTTGCGGGCCAGATCTAAGCACCTTGTGGGCCAGATGTGGCCCGCAGGCTTTGAGTTTGGCACCCCTGGCCTAAATGATGTTTTCTAACTCCATGATTTTAAGGGTGTGGTGAGAAATGACAGCATTCATATAAAGCATATCAGAAACAGGGAAAACGTGACCCAATTGGTTTTACCCAACTTACCTTGAAAGCTACAACTTTTCCTAATGTGGTATAAGCAAATCGTATCTAATCCATCAATGTCTGTGGTGGACACTACTTTATTTTCTCTTACGTCCTCCAATTCTCCCAATCGCCCTCAAGGGAAAAAAAAAAAGTACTCAGATCAGCTGTAGAATCACAAAAACTAATGCAAACTAAAATTAAGCAGAAAAGAAGAAGCAGAAAGGGAGAGAAAAAAGAAAAAGCTGTAAGTGCAAAAAGAAAAAAGTAGCAAAAATATAGGAAAAAATAAAGATAGAGTGGCTTCATATATTCCTCATAGCAGTTATAAGTACAATTGTTTAGAGACAATTGTCTCTAAAATTATATCACGACTCTCTTCATTTTATAATCTATTCTGTTTAATCATCAAAACCTTAAAACCTTAAAAGTTTATTTTTTTTATTTTTTTACTCGAAAGGCTTATAGGGGTTTCTAGTCACAAATAAAATGTAGATATGGTGGTACTTTGGTATTCAACTGAAACTCATTGAACTTAGTACTTAATGCATTTTGACACCAAATGTTTGTCCCAGTACTCAACACACAAGCTGTAACTTATAGGTGCTGGCTGCCTTGTGACTTACTATATTATTCCTTATGGGGAAAAAACTGTTGGGTACTCATCATTTTTTGTATGCATCGTGCCTTCCTTAACTAATTAACAATGGGTACCATGGTACTGTCTTTTGTAGAATAAAACAAATCCATTTAGCACCTTTAATGAATGAACTTCTGAGAACTTATGAGTTATGAGTTATGAAAGTTTATTTATATGCCGCCCTTTTCCCTGGGGGGTCTCAGGGCGGCTTACAACTCGAGGGAGGGGGGAAACAAACATTCACATGCACACACTGAGATAAGGTTTGGATAGAAGAGTTATTGACAACCTTCACCCAGCTTTAGTAGGCTTATCAACCTGAGAACTGATCTCTAAAGACCATGGGAGCATAGTCCCAGAATACTGCTTCCATGAGTAGGGCAGCAGGATCAGAACCCCCACAATACTAAACCTACGTTAATAGGTCACAAAAATTCTGAAGTCTTTTGTGGCTTAAACAAAGTAATTCCAAACTGAAAGCCAACCAAGAAATCTTTGCCCTGACTAGAAATTGTCTTCCAATGACCTGAAAGAAGAATTACCATGTTTCCCCAAAAAGAACACCAAGTCTTATTTTCTTTTGATCCCCGAAAAAACAGCTAGGGCTTCTTTTAGAGCAGGGGTGTCAAACTTGATTCCATTGAAGGCCGCATCAGTGTTGTGTTTGACCTCGGGAGGCGGAGTGGGGGTGGCCAGCTATATGTCACTTGTGTCGGGGTACCTGTGGTGGCCCAAAGCTCTGCCAGCGAAAATGGGCTGTTTCCAGGGTGGCCCTGTGGGTTAGATCTACGCACCCCATGGGCCGGATCCACCCCATCTGGTTCTTGAGTTTGTCACCCCTGTTTTAGAGGGTCATTGAAGCACTTGAAGCTTTATATGTGTCCTATAAACTCAGACCCTGATGACACAGATAAATGACCCTCTAAAAAGGGCTGTCAAAATCCCAGCCCTCGAGCTGGATGTGTCACACTCTGGCCACGCCCATGTCTGGTTTAGCGAAAGAGCAAAAAAGTCCCGATACGTCACATGAAACCACTGTGATGATGTGAGTTTGACACCCCCTGCTCTAAAAGGGATGCAAATGACCAGCTCTCTGCAAGGAATATAAATCCTTCCATTCCCCACTAGCCTGTCAGAGCTGAAGAGGTTTCTTGGATGAGAAGCAAAATGTCTTCAAAAGAAAAACCAAGAAAGCCTCCTGAAAAGCACCTTTGGGACAAACACGACTGAGAATCTCTAGAGAGTTTAAGGCAAGTCACAAATCACTCCTGTAAAACACTCCCACTTCTGCTGTATTTTTTTCTCCTGAGGATCCTGGCTATGGAGTATGAGATCCCTGGGATTTTGTACTGTATAGCACATACCTGCCCATAGCACACACATCCCACCACTACTTTGTAGCACATGAAGGCCTTCCCAGCCATGCTTGTGCAGTGCTGTGACAGCCACGGGTACATCCTCTTGCACCTAGTGTCAACCATTCTCTATCTGGCCACTGCATCATATCACTGACCCACTTGCAGGCCACTTGTAACTTGTGACTTCCTGAAGGCTTCCCCAATGATTCTGCTTATTAGAGGCCATCAGGAAGTCACAAAGAAATCCTTATTTAACAACCCACGATCCGTGCTCAACAATAGAAATAGAGACCGCAGGAATTGCTATTTCTAAGTGATACAGCCACATGTCACATTTTAATGACTCCACTGCTTAGCTATAGAAATCCCAATCCAAATTGCCATCCTTAAGTGAGGACTTGTAAATTGAGCTAAAAAAGAATGGCTGGTAACTGCCGAGTAATCATGCAGCAGATAAAAATGAGCTTTCTAAATTATTTAAAACTCAACTATGCAATCCTAATTGGCAAATAGTCAAATACAGCCTGCTTAATACTGTTTCCAATTTCATAATTGATAAACGCAGATGAGAAAGCATGGAATACCAGCAATTATTTTCTCTCTATTTTCAGAGATGACCAAGCTGGTCATATAATACAAAGTGGACAGATGTAATCCTTGCACAGCTCCTTGAACATGTCAGACTTAAATCTGAATTATCCCAATGCAAAGCTCGTGCATCCCAAACCAGCCAACTGCTACAATACTAAGAGGTGATTCTGACAATGCAATCCTCCCAACTTACTGCTTTCCAATTATGCAAAGATAACAACTCCCAGAATCCAGGAAAATTAGGAACTGTATTCCCAACACCGCAGGCATCAGACTGAAAATAGTACAATACTCATTTCCAAACAGGATTAAGTACTTTACCTCTGTATTTTGAAGATATGTTGTTTTTAATGTCCCACACATTCCTGTAGAACAATGGAATTTTACTAATCAAAGCTTGGCTCATCCCCCACTTCTCCAGTTTCTCATAACAATCAGGATTAAAGATATCATGAGAGTGTCTGCAGTTACTCCCAAATCTACATTCTCCTTGGAGGTAGTACTGGCATATATGAAGTTTAACACAGATCTTCTTAAAGGTGCACGATCCATAAGGCCCATCCCCTTTGTTGTAATAGGGACAGATCTAACAAAGAGAAGAAAATATTATACTGGTATCTTTGAAGCAAATGGATATATTTAATCTATCTCTAGAGCCAAGCAAAGATGTAAATGCACAAATGTTCAAAAAGAACATGGGATTAAAGCATCTCCAGACATTTAGAAATGGAGTCAGGAACCATCCTAACACAATACCAGGTGCACATCTTCTAGTATGCAAGGTACACCTATGACCACCGATTGCATTGATAGATTGCTTTCTTCCTAAATGCCTATTCCAGGAGTGTCAAACTGGCAGCCCCCGGGCCAGATGCATCACACGCAGGCCACACCCACCCCAGCTCCGCGAAAATGGGGGCGAAATCGCAAAATGTAACGTGACGGTAACATGATGCCATCAGTTTGATATCTGTGGCTATTCAAACCACTCAATGACAATTTTCCACTGCCTTATTAAAGGAACCCAAGAGTATATACCAGTGAGGGGGAACCTATGGCACACAGGTGGCATGTGGAGCGATGTGTTAGGGCATGCAAGGCATTGCCCTGTCAGCTCCAGTGTGCATGTGCATATTGGCCAGCTGACTTTGGCCTTCTTTTTTGGCCATTTTTCGCTCTCCAGTGGCTTCCCTTCGGAAACAGTCTTCCAGTTTGCGTGGTGTTGGACCATTTTTCGCGCTCCGGAGGCTTCAGGAAAGCCTCCGGAAGGTTCCGGAAGGTGAAAAATGGCCCTAAGGGGAAACTGTAAGTCACCATTCCCGAACTTCCAGGTTGCGTTTAGGGCCATTTTCCGCCCTCTGGAGGGGCGGGGGAGGCTGTTTTCGCCCTCCCCAAGCTCCTAGAAAGCCTCTGGAGCCTGGGGAGGACGGAAAACGGGTCCATCGCGTACCAAAAGCAGGGGGCGCGTGCATAGCATTATGGGTGTGGGCACGCCCACACACAACCCCCTGCGTTCCCCTTGCTTTTGGCAAGTGATCTGAAAAAGGTTAGTCATCACTGGTATATACTATGTCTCTTTATTATAAAGTTAGTTATGCTGTACCCTTAGATTTATGCTCTTCATTTATTTGGAAGATTATTATACCCCACTTATTCAATAGAGACTTTGAAAGCAAGATTAAACCAAAATAAAAATATTAATTGAGGTCATTTTGGTTTGGGGTTTCTTTTGGGGCCTTCAAGTCAGACAACTCCTGACAACTGCCTGGACGTGTTCCTGCAATTTTCTTGGCAATTGGGCCACAATGGTTGGCTGTTGCCTTCTTCCTAGGGCTGAGAGAAAGTGACTAGCCCAAAGTCAGTCTTTGTGCCCAAGATGAGACTGAAACTCAGTCTCCCTGTTTCTAGCCGAGCACCTTAACCACCACAGCAAACGCGCGCTACATGGGGCTGCCCCTGAAGAGTGTTCGAAGACTTCAGTTAGTCCAGAATGCAGTTGCGCGAGCGATTGTGGGTGTACCTAGATACACCCACGTTACACCTATCCTCCGCGAGCTGCACTGGCTTCCCATTGGTCTCCGGACACGCTTCAAGGTGCTAGTCGTTACTTTTAAAGCCCTACGTTGTATCGGTCCTGGCTACCTGAGAGACCGCCTCCTGCCAGTTACCTCCCAGAGATCCATAAAATCGCACAGACTAGGCCTCCTCCGGATTCCATCTGCTGGAAACCTGGCTGT